CCGTCCCATTCGCACTCACCGTAGAACTCGTTGAAGTCATTTGTGCCCACTTTGTGGAGCCGTTGAAACGCCGGCCCGTAGTCTAAGCCCATAATTCCCAACTCTTTGTATATGTCGTGCCTCTCAACCGAGTACTGGCTCTCAGATAGTTTGGACTCATTTTCGTAGATCAGGTGCTGTGCTATTAGCACGTCATCGCCCGGCGCACGCATTTTGCCCGACACGCATACGTTTTCGTTCTCGTATATTGTGAACTCACCTATATTTGATTGATTTTATTAAATCAGCATAATTAACTATGATTAGACAATTATATTAAAAAATCATATTATACTAACCTGTTAATGGAAGATATTTCACTGTAAGAATAGTGTTTTGATCCTGGGTTAAAAATAAGGCCCTTTTTAATTGAACATTCTCAAAAATGACCGGTACGCTGTACCATAGTTTGCCCATATCGGCGGCCAATTTACGCCAGGCCAGCATTAAATAGCCGGTGGCCGGGAATATAGGATTGCCGTCTACGGAGTGGTCCAAATAAAACTCGTCCTCTTTTGTGCCACAATTGACGATAACATTCATGTCAGCGGCTCTTCCTCTACACCAGCGCTCCGGATATATACGGCGCGGAATGACTAAACTGTGATCCCATTTGATCAACGAGTTAATCGACTGCGTATTGCGGGCCACCGGCCACTCACACCGCGGGTACAGCTTTTCTGGTGACAGGTTTACGCCCAACTCATACAGAGTGGCCAAACCGGACAAAAATAAATCCATATTCTTGTCGTTTGAATCCTTTTTAATGAGCGACACATAAGAGGACTCATTGAGCGTTTCGGTCACTATTTTGCCAAACAGTGAATGCGGACCGATCTCTAAGACAATGGCGTCGGCCGGCAGTTGTTTAAAGCGGTCGTAAAACATAACCGGGTTAACGAAATTGTGGGCAAAATACTCGCCCGACGCGTACCGCAGGGCCTCCTCTGTCGGGTCGGCGCTCATGAGTGAAGTGGACAACCATTTCTTGGAGCGCGGCTTCGGATGCGGTATATGTTTATTGATGGCGTCGATCAACGGTTGGGCAGCGGTTTGGATGTATTTTGAATGGTAGGCAATATTACTGCTCTCTAATTGGCGGACAAATATTTTTTTCTCTTCCAATACTTTAATTGTTTCTTTCATCTCCTTTTCCAGACCTTTCAAGTATGAAATGATGTATTAATTTAGCATTTAATTATATTTTTATTAAATACTAGCCAGAATGTATGTGTATAGCCCGCGAACAAACTTTGTTACTCAACCCATTTTTGTTATCTAATCCCTTCGATACTACCCTCCCACCCCTGTTATTATATTATTGACTAGATGATTCCTAGTAGCCCTCGGTCCTCCTGAAGTATCAAGAATTATTTGCAAAATGCATTTTGAATTATTTGCATTTGTGAAAATGTTTTGCTTCAGTGAACATAATTTTTATGTCTATAAATGTTTTCAACTTTTAATCATCTCTTTTGTTAGCAGTGCTACGCTTATCAATAATCCCATCAAATATTTTACGTTATGTTATGCTTACGTTTGATAAAGTGTAATAATTTTAGTCATATTGCTTTACCGGATATAACGACACTATCCTTAGCGTTATTACAGGCGATGTAAACACCGTTTGGACACAACTTCTGGGCCTCAGACTTGGGTAACCCCACGACAGCCATCAGTCCTTTGGGTATAGTTTTGTTATTTTCTGAGACTATTCCCCGGTTTGATGTGACGACCATTGCTTCCCTTGTGTTGAGACACCCGTCAGCGTAAGCACAGGCTATCTCTCCAAACGAGTGGCCAATTATACCGTCGGGTGTGATGTCCAGCGCTTTCATCACTTCAAACAACGCTATCTCTATAGCAGTCGTCGAACAGAACTTTGCGGTCATTGAAGCCATCGATGCCTTGTCTTCAGATAATAACATTGGTTTCAAATCAATGCCAAACTCTTTGAGTATTTGATGGCATTCTTCCACTTTATCGGCGAATATCTTGATAGGCATCAAAGCCTTAGCCATTGCCGGCCACTGACCGCCCAAACCCGGGAACAGTAGCCATAGAGGTCGAGCACTTTTGCCTTTTTGAAAGCCTATTTGCCTCTTGTATTCATAATTAATATTATTACTACTTTCCGACACCTTTTTTATTATAAGTGATCCTGTTCAAAATTAATCAATTCAATTATTTAAATAATAACCATTTTAATTAATACAATTAGTTCTTACCCTTGAATGGCATTCCCGATGAGTTAACATTAGCCGTGTATTTCATAGTCTGCGCCAAAAGTGCCAAAAAGTCATTCGTCACTCTCTTTGGGTTGTTTTGTATGAAATCCATCACATATTTGACCGCATCTTCAGTTCGGCCGCAAATGTTAACAATTCTGGGAATCGTTTCCGCAATTCTCAGTCCATCACTGGTTCCCAACTTATAGTTGGGTTCGAGCAATACGTGTGCGTTCGCACCGCCGATACCGAAATTGTTGATTGCGGCCAAACCTATTACAACATTTGATAAAAACAATTTATTTAAAATGTACACTTGATATGTATACTTGATTTGCACACAACATTAATTTACTAATATAATTTGTACTTAAAACGTATACCTGGTTTATATGGCATGGACTCCACAATAGGCTTTATTGGCGGACAATATGGAAGGCATTCGTCTTTCAGTTGTTTCATATTAAGGTTGGGAGGAATGCATTCATTCTCGTAAGCGATGCACACTTTAATAATGGCCGCCACACCCGAACCGGCCTCCGCGTGACCCATATTACTCTTTAACGCCCCCAATGGCAGGGGTTCAGTACGTCCCGGAGCCTTAACGTAAGCATTATATATGGCCTTTATTTCCTGGGGATCGCCCGCCTATTGATACAAATATATTTTAAATTATTACATTTTGAATGTAATCCAATTTTAAAGTAATTTAATATTGACATGGTCCATTTATGAATTCTACGCTAACAAACTTGAATAGTATTTGGTCAAGAAATTTAACGATGTTAATTAATATTTAAATATAATGTATATATAAATATAATTTATACATGTATATTCTTTGATTTTCTAAACCACATACTCTTCGAGATATTCATTTTTTATCATAAAGTACATGTATAGTGTATATTAATGTGTACCATACTTAACATTTTAATCTAAATCATAATAGAATTTTATGTTAATAATAATAAGTATCAATCTTAAATTATACCTTGGTGCCAGTACAGTGAGCCTCGAAATAGGTGAGGTCAAGAGGGTTCACATTGACTTGGTTGTAGGCGTCAATCATGAGCTCTTCCTGTGCTTCGGCCAATGGGAAGAACATTCCGGTCGTTTTATTACCATCGATGTTCATTTTGGCATTGACCATGGTCGCGTAAACACGCCGGGCGTCGCCTCTGCGCTGTAGGAAAGCACAGCACACGGCCTCGCCTTTGATAAAGCCGTCGGCGTCCTGATCGAGGACTGCGGCCACACCTCTGGGCGAACACAGACCCGCCTCCTGTTGGAACTGCAGTACGAATGGCTCGAACAGCATATGAGTGCCGCAAACGATCGCTGTATCGATGTTTCCTATTGTTTAGCACATGTTAAATAGTAAATGCGCTGTTTTAGTGATGTATCGCATACCGAGTTTCATGTCGTTCATCGCCAGAGTAGTGGCCGATAGACTGGCCGAACAGGCGGTGTCCACCATCAGTGACGGGCCCTTAAAATCAAACACAAATGATATACGACTGGCGTAAAGGGATTTCAAATTGGAGAGGGTCTGCATTGTCGCTCTCTGCAGACTTTGCTTCAAATCGGGCTGAATATCGTCGGGATAGCCTTCAGTCATGGGGTATATGGAGACCCCAACGTATACACCAGTCTTACTACCACGTAGTGATTGCGGACTCATACCTGCATAATTTGTTCAATTATTAGTAGTTTTATAATATCATATTATTAATATGATATTATACACAATATAGGTTTCATTTTTAACAAGTTCTGATTAGTTTATTATCTGGACATTTATTCTAATTAACTTTTCACACTCATACAAGAGTCTATTTAAAACATATCCTAGATCATCCTAGGTCTAGAACTATTATATCTAAGTTTTATTTTATTCTAATTTCTGTTAAAATTAATCATAAATTATAACTCATAATGATGTTTTCACAAAGAGCACTAACTGCTATATAAAAATAATCATAATAAATTAATAATCAAATAATATTTTGCGTAAAACTTAAAGTAAATAATATTGTGAAAAAGCAAGCATAATGGTTTGTTAAAACTGACCTGCGTCGATAATGGCCTCGTAGGTAACCTCGAGAAGCATCCGCGCCTGCGGGTCAACCCTTTCCGATATCTGTTGCGGGAGTCCGAAGAAAGTCGAGTCAAACTGATAGAAGTCATGGATTTTGCCAATCCGTGGATTCAGATCAAACGTGCCTGGTCATTATGTGCATTATGTTTAAATTATATTGTTTTATTAAATTACAATAATATTCATATTTCAAGCAAATGGCAGTTATATTATTATGTATTCATACCCTCTGGCCATCGGCTGTCATCAGCGGTGATCATATCGACGCCGTCGTACAGATTGCGAGCCAATTCGTCGGTGTTGTTGGACAGCGGGAACCGTCCGGCGATACCACTGATTACCACATCGTTTCCAGATATTGTTTTACTCATTGTTTGCGTTTTTCAACAATATTACTGACTTTATTGACAAAAATTGATATAGATCTTTCTACTAAATAAATGCAAATTAAATTTAATGCTATTATTTAGTTTGGAATAAGAATAAATGCTGAATATAGGTAATAAAGTTTGATTGATAGTAGCCTATGATTACTCATAAGTGAAATCAGTCCTAACACAATTGACTGCCTTATATATGTTGTGATCGGCAATTGATTGCAATTAAAATCTATTAAAAACAAAAGACAATTCAATAAAATATTGTGAAATCACAAATTAATGACAGTTTTGAATTACATAGAAGCTAAATTACTTATAAATATTTTATGGTTAAATATAAAAATCAAATAATTAATCGGTGTAGTTTGGTTTGGATTTTATCATTATATTAATTATTTTTAATGACTACTGTATTAAGTGGATATGTTTTATTTCTTATCAATAAGATTCATTAAATAAGTATTTAAAAAAGTGAGATGGACACATGTAAAATTATTTAATTTCAAAATATATAATTAGCTTACAATGATAAGAATTTAAATTTTTTATTATTTTTAAAACATTATTACTGATTGACGTCAAAAGTAAACTTAATTTGATTAAAATCAATCAATTTTTTGTCAAATTCTTAGATTTCAATTATGAAATAGACCATGTAAAGGTTAACATTATAATGCCAGCTGTAAAAGTGGGCAATTTTAAATATAAATCTAATTTAGTTTTTAAGTAAAATTATTTCATTTTGTAAGTTATTTCTAAAACTAAGATAAGCTTGTACAACTTTATACAGCTTTATACAGTATTACAATAATGATTACATTGGCGTTTATGTTAATACAATTCTACCAAGAATTGTGTAGATAAAAATTGCAATAATTTTACAATAATTGATTGTGTTGAAATTATTTTTTATTTAAATTTATCTATTAACATGATAAATAAAACAAATACCGCAAGCTATATATAATTAGCAGTTGTTGGATAAGTTTAATTTGTTACTTAAAATTTATTTTTAAAAAATACAAATAGAAATAAAAGGTAATTTTTTCAGGTAATTTATTTGACGGCCGTTTTATATAAAGATATTAAAATTTCTTTATAATTCTTTATAAATTAAACTATTAACATACAGAAAAGAATTACTATTTATGATTAACTCAAACAACCATTATAAATTAATTACAATTATAATAGGCCCACGTAGATAATAAAATGTGGTAAACAGTTATTATATATAATAATCATGTTATCATTTGATCAATGTCACCCTTGTGACATTCATTATAATATGCAAATTATGTTATAAGGCATATAATTTAGAAAAGTCACAATAGACAATAGTTCCAATTTTGTAATCTTTTATATTAGCTTTTTTACTCACTGTTAGCGTAGCCAGATATATTTTCTGGAAAAATTGATAAGGAAGTTATTAAATAAATGATAAGTTATCATGATTTTTAAAAAATAATAACCCATTTATAACATTTGTATTTAGACTGACAAGATGTCCAGAAATGGCTGGATTGTCCAGGAATTAGATGGCCTGTCCAGATGTTTAAAAATAGTTTAGGCTTATGAAGGCGTCCAGGATAATATAGCTAAAATTAGTAAAATGTCCAGGAATCCAGGATAATAGGCTATTTTTGTCCAAAATCCAGGATTTTCATAAACTCATCTGGTCAGTTTATTTGTATTACTTGCCGCTAATAATAGCAAGGTCGAGTAAAACATCATTTCCAGTTATGCAACACTTATTTGTTTCCGACAAATATTTGTATTAAATAATCAAATTATATGAAAATTTATAAAACATTTTTATACTTTTATTTGTGAGCAAACTTTAATTTAATTCCATAGAACTTTTATAAATGATTTTATTTATCACATAGGAAAACATCTAGTTCATAGGACGGCAGAAAAGGGGAAAATTATTTTTAACATATGAATATTGTATGAATAACATAGGGCTATTTTTCATTTTTGAAGCACTTGCCGTCGCATGATCTAGTTTATCATAGGTAAAATTCAACGTATAAATGCATCATACAATAAGAAGTAATTTACAAATTGTTTTAAACTAAATAAAATCATTAGATTTAACAAGTTCACTTGTTATATTATGTTTTAGCATACAGAAGTCGAGATACCAACTTAAGTTGTCCTTGAATTATTACCTTATGGTTAATATACATACAATTATTGCAAAGTATAAATAAATACTCAGTTTATAGCGATTTTTTCTTAAACTGTTAATTTGATTTTAAATCTGTTTTCACAGAATTGTAGCTGGATAAATTTGTGATTGATTGGTATATAAAATTGAATAGTTTTCTCTCTGAATCTGGTAGTAATATCTGATAGTAAAAATTACAAACAAATTACCATGCCATGTACTTTCATAACACATTGGAAAACAATGGGATTTTATAATATGATGTTAAATTATGTAGCAAAATATAAAATATAATCAATATAACCATAGTACTTATTGTTGATAAAATAACATTGAAATAAAATATTACAAAGTTATAAAATATATTATTTTCTTTTTTAATTTTAATTATTTTAGGCTATTAATCCTTAAAATTGACTAAGTACTTTTGTATAGTAAGTGTTAAAAATAATCATCTTTTGAGATTTGGAACTTTTATTCCTTCGTTAGTAATATTATTGTCATCTAATAAGGATTCGCAAAACACGTATTGGATTTATTTTAACCAGCTATGAATAATGTGGTTTATAGGATTGTTAGGCTACCCCTCCTCCGGCCCCCGCTCTATGGGGTTTAATATGGGATTACAGCTTAAGTATATGGCTATACTTTAACATGGGTAATGCTAAGTCTATGGCAATGATAATTGTATGGGTAATGCTATTTTTATGGGGAGTGCTAATCCTATGGATTCTTATGAAATGTAAAGCTTATCTATTCTTTACGCAGTACCCGAATTGTGGTTAACATATAGCATCGCTGTGTGAACCTTGTTTATTTTAAACAATTTCGTATATAAATTGTTAAATTTAACCAAGTAGACCCGAAAGCATACTTTGGAACTACTTATAATTGTGAACAATTGTTTTCTTTAATAAAAGCCCGAAAGAATGATACGATCAATTAATTAAGTAATGATTTATTAATTTTTTATCTCTCACTCTGTGCATTAAATACTATAAAATCCAATATTAACAATATTATTCACAATAAATGATTGAATTTTGTTAATAAATCTCAAAAATATTATTATTATTATCCGTTAAACAATTTGATTTTCAATAAATTTCTAATCCAAAATATTGAATGTATCTAAACCAGCCTTAAATTTGCTTTCCCCCTTTTCTGGCAACAGTATTTTAGCATATTAGTATACATACTGTATATTCATTTAATCTTTAGTTAAAAGTATTTATATACATATTATAATTTATAATTAACTTTATTATCTAAGTTGAAAATTGAGGGAGTTATTGAAAATATGAAAACTAATTTTACACATCATCTTGCACAAATTCTTAATTTAAACAACTAAATTTACTAAATTAAATTAATCCACCTCTCTCATTAGTGGGTTACAACCAACGATGACTCATCGTCGATGAGCTGAGCGTGCATTCCAGTGCATTTGCCCGCATTATAGGGAATCATACTTTATAATCAATTTATTTTTATCATAATGCATTCAAATATGTCGTTATGAAATTAAGAGTGTGGTGGGTTGCATTATGTGTAATTCATTGTAAACAAATTGGCGTTAGCCTCAGACCGACCTGGGTCGTCCTTGAATTTGTTACAAATGGTTAATATACATAGTGTAAAACACAAATATGTTTCAATTTCACTTATAACCTTTAAACTGTTAGCATTGCTTATGTTAAACCTGTTTTAAGTCTATAGCAATGCATATCCTATGGGTAATGTTAAGTTTACGAGAGTAATGTTAACTCTATAGGACTAATGCTGATTTTATGAGAATATCTGTAATGATAAGACTATGGCATAGTATTAACTTGGATAATAATAAAGCTATGAGTAAAATTANATGCATCATACAATAAGAAGTAATTTACAAATTGTTTTAAACTAAATAAAATCATTAGATTTAACAAGTTCACTTGTTATATTATGTTTTAGCATACAGAAGTCGAGATACCAACTTAAGTTGTCCTTGAATTATTACCTTATGGTTAATATACATACAATTATTGCAAAGTATAAATAAATACTCAGTTTATAGCGATTTTTTCTTAAACTGTTAATTTGATTTTAAATCTGTTTTCACAGAATTGTAGCTGGATAAATTTGTGATTGATTGGTATATAAAATTGAATAGTTTTCTCTCTGAATCTGGTAGTAATATCTGATAGTAAAAATTACAAACAAATTACCATGCCATGTACTTTCATAACACATTGGAAAACAATGGGATTTTATAATATGATGTTAAATTATGTAGCAAAATATAAAATATAATCAATATAACCATAGTACTTATTGTTGATAAAATAACATTGAAATAAAATATTACAAAGTTATAAAATATATTATTTTCTTTTTTAATTTTAATTATTTTAGGCTATTAATCCTTAAAATTGACTAAGTACTTTTGTATAGTAAGTGTTAAAAATAATCATCTTTTGAGATTTGGAACTTTTATTCCTTCGTTAGTAATATTATTGTCATCTAATAAGGATTCGCAAAACACGTATTGGATTTATTTTAACCAGCTATGAATAATGTGGTTTATAGGATTGTTAGGCTACCCCTCCTCCGGCCCCCGCTCTATGGGGTTTAATATGGGATTACAGCTTAAGTATATGGCTATACTTTAACATGGGTAATGCTAAGTCTATGGCAATGATAATTGTATGGGTAATGCTATTTTTATGGGGAGTGCTAATCCTATGGATTCTTATGAAATGTAAAGCTTATCTATTCTTTACGCAGTACCCGAATTGTGGTTAACATATAGCATCGCTGTGTGAACCTTGTTTAT